ATCTTTAAAATAATTGGCCGAATTACACATATACAATAACCCCCCACAAAAAAAAGCTTTTTAAATAAAAAATAATACATATAGATATATATATATTTACAGTAATAAAGCAAAAAAATATAAGTAAAAATCTAATAGCTTTAAAGCTTTTACAGAAAATAAAAGCAACAAAAATTGTAAAAGATATAGAAATAATATTTAATACAGAAAATACTTTTAAACATATTATTATTTTTTTATATTCTTAATTTATATCTAAAAGCATTTCTTTATAATATTTTTTTTTTTAAAAAAAAAATAATAATATATATAATTACATTTGTTTGCAATCTATTAGTTAGCCTAAAAATAATAATAAACAGTATCTTTGTATATAAGAATTGAAACAGAATCTACAATAACTGCGATGAGCATAATTATAGATATAAATAGTATGAATCTATGTATCTTTTTATCTGATATTTCTATTCCATCTTCATTTATTTAAATATCTGCTTTTAAAGATTTTAAAGGGGAAGCCATTATAATATTTTATTTTTCAATTGTTTCTTAAGATTAAGTAAAAATCCAATTTATAGTCAATAATGCATATACCATTAATATAAATCCGATAATTACTAATATTATATTCGGTAAACAAGGATAGAAACTTTCAAAAAAATACCCTGTTATAAATAAACCAACAGCAAATAATAATTATAAAATAGAATTGATTTTTTGCATTTATATTAAACGACTTTTTTCATTTAAAGTCCAGTCATTTATAGAATGTTATCGGTTCATGTTTATTTATTGTTTTGTCAACATTTTTAAATATAATTTATAATTTTTTATTATATTTATATTTATTTTAATATAAATAATATTTTTTTTTTATTTTTTATTTAATAAATAGTTATGTTTTTAATGTTATTTATTTAAAAATTTATAAATTAAAAAAAAAAAAAAAGATAACAATTTTTATATTTAATTAATAAAAATAAAACAATAAAAAATTATTTATAATATTTTATAAATTAATTTTGCAAATATCATATTTTTCTAAAAAAATTAAAATAAATTTTCATATAATAAATTAAGAAAAAAAATAAAAAAAAATAAAGAACAAATGAATAAATATTTAAAAATTTTTAGATATTTAAATTGTTATTTAAAATAAAATAAATAAAAAATATATAAAATAATTATTAACATTAATGAAAAATTAATTATAAAAAAATTTATATATATAAAATATAAATAAACATATATAAATATATATATATATATATATATTTATACATAACTAATTTTAATATATTATATATATTTTTTATCTTATTATCATTTTTTTAAACTTTTAAAAATCTTATATAATTATATTTTTCATTATTATTTATTATTATTTTTTTTTATTTTGTATAATTAATAATATTTATTTATCTAGTTTTAAATATGATTTTAATATTAAATATTATTTTTTTTATTTGTTAGAATATTTTTTATATATAATTTTGATTTTAATTATAGTATTTTTAAATTTATTATTTAGTATTTATATCTTATATATGATTGCAAAATTTTTATGCTACAATTTTTTATAAAAAATCTTTTTTTTAAAATATAAATATAATATATACATTTATATTATTAATTATAAAAATACAAATAATATTACATTATTTTAATTTATATATATATAATTTTTAAGACATTACTTTATTTATATATGTTTATATTTTTTAACTTATTTTATTCTCAATTTTTGAAATAGAGGGAAATAAAATATCTAATTGTTTATTAAAAATTTTATTTTAATATATAATATATAATATTAAATTATTTTGAAAAATAAATAATTTTTTTTTAAATTTAACAATTTAATTTTAATATTAAATATTTGTAAATTTTTATATATAAAATTTAAGTTGTTTAACATTCTAAAAAGATAAAACATATATTTAAATATTTTTAATATAATGACAAAAATAAAATATATATATTTAAAATATTTTTTTATTAAATGAATATAATAATAAAAATTATAGATATTATTAAATAAATTAAACAAAATTAATAATTAAAAATATATTATAATATATTAATATATAATAATATATATATAAATATATATTTATAAATATATATTTATAATATTATATTTATTATAATTAGATTTTTATTTAAAACACGTATTTAAATTAAAAAATATATATATATTATAATTTAAAGTATTTAATTTAATACTGTTTAATAAAATTTCATTATTCTTCTAATTAATTAAAAAAATTGTTTTCCTTTAAATTATTTTCTATATTTTCAAAATATTATTGTTCTACTACAAATATATCTTCATCGTTTTTCTCGTTCTTTTTTTGTAAATTTATATATTCTTATAAATAAGGCTCTACTACATTCTATTTAAGGTTTTGGAAAATTCTGGCTGTAAATTCAGGACCTCTAGACCATATAATATTAACATTTGGGTATAATATAATAAGTGCTGATAAATATTAAGTAAGAATTGCAAATCTATTTTTTTTCTGAGGTTCATTACTATTTATACTATTATTATTATTATTATTATTATCAAATCCATATATATTATAATTTATAGATTCTAAATTAAAATTAATTTCATCCGCAAATTCAATTAATAAATAACATTTTTTATATTTCTTTTACATTTCTAATAATTATTTATCTAATCTTCCGCTTTTAAAGCTAGAAATAAGATCATGTGTTTATACAGACTTTCTTTCTATAGCAATTTCTTTACTTAAAATATAGTCACCTACTTCTAACTAAACAGGAACAACATTAAAACCTTCATGGTATAAAATTGAAGGTAAATCACTTCTAAATTCTCTTTTATCTACTATAATACTATATTAACAACAAAATAATAAGATAAATATATAGATATATAAATAAATATATATATATATATATAAATATATATATATATATACACTAATTGTTATTTATATATATTTTATTATATTTAACTTTTATATATTTTATATTTATATATATCTACGTTGGTTATTATTATACTCCTCCTTATCTTGTATTAGTTTTTTTTTATATTATTTTTACTCGATTATTATAATCATCTATACTGTCTGGTATTTAATTTTTGATTTTAACTATTTTTTCTGTTGCCAGATTTTCTTTTTTGACTTAATTTATTATTTTTTCATTCTCTAATTTTTCATTATATATTATCATTCTTAATTCATATATTGGATTTACTCCATTTTCTGAAATCATATGTTAAAAAACTGAAATTTCTCTTAAAACACATATATTAGGTTCTACTAAAATAACCTTTTTATATTAATTACGATTGATAATTAATATTTATATAATATTTATACAAAATTAGGTCTATATTTTTTAATGAATTACTATCTTTGAACTGATTTATTTATTGAATTAACAATAATAGTGAATTTCGAGTGTATTTAATCTGCAAAGAAGAATTTATCGCCATCCTAATTAATATCATCTATTAAAAAAACATTTAAGTCTTATATATTATTAGTTAAAAGTTTAAATTTATTAAGATTTTCTTATGAAATTTTGAACTGTCTTTTTTTCAGTTTTTTATCTTCATCTTCGTTTAAATTCTAACTTAATTATAATTAGTCATACTCAATTAATTACTAAAAAAGCTCTAATTCTTAAAAAATCGATTCTAAAAGAACACTTTCGATTTCATGTTATTCTTTTAAGTTATTTTTATTTTATAATTATTAAATTTTCCTAAAACGATAATTTTAAGAAATTCTTAATAAATTTCGCAATTATCTAATATAATAAAGATGGCTTTTTTCATCTTTTTTTAAAAAAAAAGACGTTATGTACTCTTGGATTTCTTTTACTTTTCTATAGTCGTTTGTATTTATCCATATTATGTATCTTTCGCCGTTTATTGGATTGAATTTCTCGTATCTTTCGAATATATCTTTTATAATTAAATTTATATATTAATGTTTTGGGTCTATGTCGAAATTTATTTTTATTTTGTGATTTATTTAGAAGTTTTGGATTCTTTTTTACATTTAAGATTGATCATATTATATTTAAAATTTATCTCCTTATATTTAAGATTATTAGGCTTAATTTAACGATTATTAGGGTTAATTTAACGATTATTAGGGTTAATTTAATGATTATTAGAGTTAATTTAATGATTATTAGGGTTAATTTAACGATTATTATGATTATATTTAAGATTATTATAGTTAATTTAATGATTATTATGATTATATTTAAGATTATTATAGTTAATTTAATGATTATTATTATCGTTAATTCAATGATTATTTTTTTGATTATTATATTTATTCGAATAATTATTATTCCTATATAATTTTTTCGAGTTCTATTATATTTTCTAAATCATCAATTTTATCTAATTATTATAAAGTTTATATATCAATATTTATTTTTTCTTCAGTTTTATTAATTTCATATATTCTTTTTTTACTTTCTTCATAAAGTTATTCCAATGCATTTAAAACGTCTTTATTATTTGTATTTTTAATGTAACTTTATTCATTCATTTAATCATTTATATTAATAAGTCTTTAATAAAATCTTACACAGTCTAGATTAAAAACATCATAAAGTAGTCTTTTAAAAATAAAAGCGTCTAAAACATATTAATTATTATTACAAAATTTACTAAAAAGTTAATTAGAAACTATTTTTTATTTCAATTCATAGGAAGTGTTATTGAAAAACTCTTCTTAATTGAAAATTTCAAATGTTTTGTTTTCTTCTTAGTTAAAAACTTTAAGTTCCTTAAGTATAAAAACTATTATTAATTTTATACTTTAAATTATTCTTTTCATTCTTTTACTAATATTAACTAGTTAATCAAATGTTTTACATTAGTTTTTTTTAGAATAAATCTTTTTTATATTAAAAAATATATAATACTATATATTAATTTATAATTATACATTAGAATAAAATATATTAATTTTTATTTTATATATATTTAATAATACTTCGTATTATATTTCTTATCTTTATAAATTCCATAAAAAGCATTTGTTTACATAAAACCAACTCATTATATTTTCTAATCCTTTCTAAGCTTATTATTTATAATAAAAAATATATAAAATAAATTATATATATATATATATATATATATATATATATATATATATATATATATTTACCTATTTATGTTTCTTTTTCTGATATCCCAAAAATAAATGCAAAAGGATTATTAAACTTTAGTATAGTACATAACCAACATAAATTTTCTTTTTTATGGGTTACTTTTTCTATTTAGTTTATCATAATTCCATTTATTAATTGACTAGGTAGAATTATTTATTTACTTAATAAATCAAATATTAATATGTTTGTAGAAATACTAAATATACCTCCTTATAAATATAAATCACTTCTTTTAGTTGCTAAAAGTGGTGAAACATCTATTATTTAATGTTTTTTTAAATTTTAGTTTATTTCTAAAACCTCATCATTATCAAAATTTAATACAAATATTTAAGTCAATGGACCTTTATCAAATGTATCTAAATATTCTGCTATTACATTATATAAACCAGTTCCCTCAGACATTATTAAAATACCACCATTTTAGGCTTATTTCATGTCATTTTTTATTAATTAAATATAGTTTAAATTTTAATTCATATATTATTTTTATAATTATAAAAAGTAAATAAATTTAATTAATTTTTTTTTATTTTTTAAAAGATTTTTTGTTTATGCTTTTCATTATAATTTTTATGATAAAATTTAATAAAATTGAGCTTATTTTATTTACTTTATAACGAAAAAAATAAGTAAATACATAGAAAATAATATCATTTTTATTAAATAAATATATATATATATATATATATATATATATATATATATATATATATATATATATATATATATATATATATACATATAACTTTAATAAAATAATATTTTTACCAATTATTTTAAAATTTAAAAAATAAAATGTAATATAATATTTTTTTTTTATATATTTCTCCTTTATTAAAAAGCCTATTATTTCTAACCCTATGATAATTAACCCGAAAAAATAAAAGGTCTTGTAATTTTCATCCGCCATGGAGCACGTACACCTGCCATAGAAGATTATTATCCAGAAGAATGGCCTGAATATAACAAAGGAGACTTAACCTAATCTGGAATAGACCAATTATATAATGTAGGTAGATTAATAAGATAAAAATACGGCGATTTCCTTCCCAAAGAATATAATAAAAATTTTATAAAGGCCCGTTTTGCTTTAAATTTATAAAGGACAGTTTTATCTTTACTATCTTTTCTAAATGGTATATTCCCGGATTTATACAACAGTGAAGATAACAGATAATTATCTTCTGATAAGCTAATGTAAATAAACAAAGAGAAATTAAGTTTTTCAATAAAGGATTCGGATTATAATGAAAAAGACTTAATTTTTCGTGCAAACTCAGAAACAAATTGTAATTTAATTGGAAAAATATTATAAAAAAGGGAAAATACTTAAAAATTTTATAAAATGTACTAATATTTTGTAGAACATCCTTTAATGAATTCAATTAAGGAAAAACTACTTTTTTATAGAAATTCGACTGAGTTTTTTGAGTTTAAGAGTATGTTTCATATAAAGGAAATTTATGATTCCTTTTTATTTAATAAATTCGCGAAAAAAAAAGTTCCTAAATGGAACTCGACTGAAATAGGCTTTTTACATTAACTTTATGAAAATTTTTTCTATAAATATTATTGCTTTAGATAGGCTAGATTGATTTCCTCTAGTCAGTTTTTTAGTGAGGTTTTGGAAATTATGGAAGGCCTTAAAAATAATAGTATTAAAGAAAAATTATATGTTTATTCGGGCACTAAAACTAATATTGTTATATTTATTTCTTCTCTTTTAAAAAAATAGTAAATTATTTAATTAAAAGATTATAAAATTGCACCACTTTCGGCTACTTTTGTTATCGAGTTTAAGGAAAATAAGAATAAAGAGTTATTTGTATAAATTAAATATGGTGATAAACCTTTAGAAATACTGGTTTGTAGGGAAAAAAAATGGTGTAGTTATAAAGAATTTAAGATTTTATTAAAAACAAGGATAGTTAAAAATTTAAAGTAAAAATGCGATATTACTAAGATTAAGAAATGATAAAATATGTGTATAAAATACATATTTATATATAAATATTTTTTTATTTATTTAATAAAATTTCACGTAATTTATAAATTAGTGTATTAATTAAAAAAAAAAAAATAATTATAATTTTGATTTATATATATATATAAACAAAATAAGATTTATGTTTTATTTTATTTTAAATAAAACAATAATATAAAAGATATTTTTTTTTTTTTTATATATATATAAAATTCATATATATTTATGTTAATTTTATAAAATAAAATAAGTTATATATATATATATATATATATATATATATATATACATATATATATATATATATATATATATATATATATATATTTATATACATCTTTTTTTTTTTTCAATTATATATACTAAAAATAATAGATTTACTTTATTTTAATGAAAACCATTATTAGTTTAGAAAATTTCGAACTATAAATGAGATAATTTAAGAACTTAACTATAAATATATATATATATATATATATATATATATATATATATATATATATATATATATATATATATATATATATATATATTGCGAATATATAAAGAAACTAGAAATCAAATGTAAATTCTTTTAATATACTATGAATTATTTTGAATGACTTATGTAATATTTACATAGAGTTTATTAATTTGCCCCTAATATTTAAATTATACTGGCCATTTAGTCTTTAAATATATTATAAACGTGAATTCTTATATAACCCCCCCCTCCATTAACTTTTAATGCTCAATGTAAACTGAATATTAAAAGTCTTAGGAATATTTGAAGTTTTTTGGGAATAAAATAGGTTTTTTTATTTTTTCTTAAATTTTTAATTTTCTTTTCTTTTTTCAAAGTATATCTAGATTTGGTAAACTCATATATTATAGCTTTAATTTTAAATATTTTCTTATATATATTAATAATTAATAATTATTAAAATTAATAAATAAATAATATTTATTTATTTTTTTCCAAAAAAAAAATAAATAAATAAAAATAATAACAATATTAACAATGAAAACAGCAAATATATAATTAAATAATATTAATATAATGAATAGTAATAACTCTAATAATAATATTGATAATCCATAAATAAATTAACTTTTATAAAAAGTTTAAGCGGCTACAAGAATATATATACAATTTGATTATAATAAATACCGTATTACTATCGATAATAATACATAACCATCATTTTTATTTTCTTATATGAGTTTAAATGAAAACAAATTATAAATATTTTCCACACGACCAGTAGACGTGATTACTATATAGAATGGATTTGTCTGTAAATATGATAATCAAAATTAAAAAATATAAATAGGTATTACTAAAAGAGATTTATTTTATAATAGTCAATAAATAACTATAAAAGACTAAAATCAAAACAGCTTCTTAATGAAAACTTCTAAATGTGAAAAATATTTTATGATACCTTTTTTAAGATTTATTTTAATATATGTGCTTAAATGTTGTTTAAAAACTAATTATATTTATAATAATTAAGGTAAAGAAGTTGCTAATTTAACTTCTTTAGATTGCGAAGGAAATAATAGAGAACTTATATTTATATAAAATGAAATTCAATATAATAATGATGATAAATTACTTATTTTATTAACTTTACTTGAATTTATATCTTTTTAAAAGTTTTAAGAACTTATAAAAATAAATTTATGAATAAATTAAATAAATAAATTTATTAGATAAAAAATATAATAAAAATTTTTTAAAAAAAGGAAAAAATATAATATAAAAATTTAAATATTATATAAAAAAATTTTTATAAAAAAAATATATTTTGATAATAATTAACAATATTAATTTTATTTAGAAAATATCTATTAAGTATGTTTTTTAAAAAAAAAAAAAAATTAGAAAAATTTTAACTTATATTAATTATAATATAAAAAAATTAAATAAATTACTATTTAGATTTATTAATTAAATAAAAATTATATTTATTAATAGTATCAAAAATACAAAATATAATATGATAACAATAAAAAATAAAAAACAGAAAATATTTAAGTAAAAAATTAAAAATATATATAGACATAAATATATATTATTATTTAAATATATAATATAATATATAAAAACAAATTATATATATATATATAAATATTTAAATATATATATTTTATTTTATTAATTATTTTTTAAGTTGTTATATTTTTTTAAAATTTTTAAATATATTTTTTTATTTTAATTTTTGTAAGAATTTGAATATCTATTTAATATAATTCAACATAATTTTTTTTTTGCATTTAAATATATTTAATTATTTTTTTCAATTTATAATTTCTTTTTATTATTCTTAAACTTCTTTTTATTTTTATTCTTATATTTTTTTCCTTTATTAAGCTTTCCATAAAATTTTTAAATATTTGGAATCCTCCTCTTCACCTGGGAAAATATAATCATAATATTCTTCATAACCTTTTAATAATTATATAAAAATATTTATTGAAATTATTTAAAAAATATATATATTAATAAATATTATTTAAATAAATCGTTTTTAATATTTATTTAAAAAATAAACTACCTGCATCTTCTTCTAAATCTCCTTCCACAATTTTAATTTTTCTTTATTTCTTTACTCTTTTTGGCATTTTTTCTTATAATTATTAAATAAATTCTTAATCTCCAAATTTAATTTCTTATTCTTTCCATTATTCTATAACCATAGCTCTTTACTTATAAAATAAAAAAATAAAAAAATAAAATAAAAATAAAATAAAAAACCTCTTTCATTTCTTTTTCTCCTTTAAAATATTCTTCTGCCCTTTTAAAAACTTCTCTACATTTTCCTTTTTCCTAAATAGAAGCCTCAAACTAGGCATAACTAATCCATATTTTCACATTTTTCGACTTTCCTAATAGCTTTTCATATAATCTTCTTACATTTTCATATTCTTTTAATTCAATTTCACTTTCAATATATGATTTCCATACCGTCTCTGGCATATTCATACTTTAATGAGCTATTGCAATTTCGAAAATAGCTCTATATCTATCCAATTCATCCAGACTTTTTTCCAATTTGGCCCATTAGACAAACGGTAAAGGATTATCTGGAAAAACCTCAATATATTTTTCATAAATTTACCTTACCCTAACTAAATTAGTTAACTTATACTCTAAATCGATATATTCCTGAAAGATCTTATCATTAGGACATTTCCCTAAGGCAATACCGAAAATCTTCCTGGCCTTATCTAAATCCTAGCACCTTAATTAAAACTAAGCATACATAACCCATAATTTTGAAAATGTAAAATTTTTATGAGGAACTAATTTTAAAGCCCTCTCGTATATCTGATTTGCCCTTAAAATATCTCCCTATTCTAGTTCTTCGAAGGTGGCATAGGAATACCATAAATAAATATATCTTCTCCACAGTCTTTTTTCATTATTATTTTTGGGAACATTTTTTATGGCATTTTCAAAAGTATCCCTTATCCGGTTTATATTTTTAGTTTCTATTTCTAAATTAACCAGATCGAACCAGGCATCGTAATTGTTTTAATTTTAAGAAATTAATTTTTTATATTAAAGTCTTCTTTCATTAAATATTAAGTTATCGATTTCATCTTTAGAACCGAATTATTTCTCGAATTGTAAATATTCTTCATATAACTTCTTAGATTTCTCCTTTGTAATATTCTCTAAACCAAATTTAAATATTTCCCTTGCTCTATCAAATTCTTTCTCCCTTATCTCGAATTTCCCAAAAGTAATAAAATATTCTTCTTTTAAGCTTTCTTCTCCCAATTCTTCTATTGTATTTTCCAATAATTTCCTAGCCTCTTTTTTAAACCCTAATTTTACTTCGAATTTCGCTACTTTTAAATATGTTTTTAATCTTGGAAAAGCATCCATATAACTATGCATATATATTATTATTATTTTATTTTATTTTTTTTTAAAAAAAAACTTACTTATACATAACTTATCTAGCATTTTATATTTCACCTACTCTCTATTCAAAAGCTACAAATGAAAGCCATGCTTTTTCTTCTGGTCTCCAATTCATCCATCTTTAATATATGTTTCTTGCCTATATATAATTACCAACAAGTTCTTCCATATAAGCATATTTATACCAAAATTAATCAACTCTTGGTAAAAATTCTATAGCTCTTTCAAATAAATTCCTGGCATGATTAATAAATTTATGTCTCATTTCCATTTCTATATATTTTAGCCATATAGATATATTTTTATAGTCAACTTCTAAAGTTCTTTCATATACACTTCGAGCTCTTCTAAATTCTTAAAGGCTTTCTTCAAATAAAGCATATCTTATTATTTTTACATATATAAAAATAAATATAATGCTTATTTTACTTTAACCAATGTCCTATATGGAATCTTTATGTGCGTATTTTTTATTCAAAATCTCGTCTTTTTTATTATTTTATTTAATCTAAATCATCTTCATCTCTTATTTTATAATCTTATTAAACAAATGGCTTTTTTCGATCCAAGAAAGCTCTTTATAATAATTATTCAGCTGTAATTTATATTGGATTTGCTCCCTTATTTTTAACTTTAGGAGGTTTCATTATAACTGTATCAACATTATCCATTTTTTTTATTATTTAGACACCAAAAAAATAATAATATAATTAACAAAAACTAATAAAAATATATTAATATATAAAACATAAAAAAAAAATATATATGTTTTTATTTTTTTAATAATTAATATATATATATATATATATATGTATATGCATTATTATATATTTATATAATATTTTAAGTTATTTTTTCTTTTTAATTTTTTAATAAAGCAGCATATCTATATATCAGTATGCAATTATACTTATATTTACTAATATGAATGTTCAATAATAAGAATATTTCTCAAACCACCAATAATTTCTAACTAGATATTTCCTTAATTCTTCCCAAACCATAATTAATATCGAAAATGGTAACGAAGGCATCAACACCATTTCGAAATTTAAAGGTCTTGACCCAAAAATATTCTACACATATGGTACATAAAGTAAAAATAAGCAAAATCCCAATTCAAAGATAATTCCAAAAATCATAAATTTATTCATTTAGGTATATGAAAAAGATGTTTTTCTACCCTTTAGACATATAACATTACTAAACTAGAATAATACAACAGAACAAAACCAAGCAGTTTATGCATATTTAAGCGCTTCAGTTGTAAAGCATGCTGTATTTCCTGAAACAGGCGAAATAAACATACTAGTATTGCATTTTCCCCATTTAATTTTCGGTGTCCATTTTCCGCTTTTTTCATCACAAAAAATAAGGCTTTTTCTCAAATCATAATCACCGAATTCATTACTAAGCCATTTAAAATCCCATTCTTTTTACCCTTTTAAAAGATCTAAATCTTGCATGCAATTATATGCTTTTTTCTACATGAAATTCCCATTGAAGTACGCACAATCATCATTTAAGCAATTTTTACATCCAAAACCTTCCTAAAAATCCCCTTTTGGTGGTCTAAGCACTCCCTTTTCAATTGCTAATCCAAAAAGGCTTTTTATTGGAAATCCCAATTAATTAAAGACTGTAAAATAAGCCAAAAATCCACCTCCTATTGCCAAAACCCCCATCAAAAAATACGCATGAAAAAGTAATTTTAGACTAACCATATGTTCATTTTTTTTCCTGGGTTTTCTCGTCATAATATCGATCTCTGCGTCTTCATAAGAAAACGAAATTGACGGAATAATATCAGTCCCTACATCTATACAAATCATATAAATACTAGTAATAGGTAGCGGTATTTAAAAAATAATAAATGCAATAAACGGAATAATTTCCGGTACATTACTTACTAATACATAAACGATTGACTTCTTTAAATTATCGAATATCTTTCTCCCTTCTTCTACCCCTTAAACTATACTGGCAAAATCATCGTCCAATAATACCATATCGGAAGCATCTTTAGTGACATCAGATCCTGATATATTCATTGAAATGCCAATATCGGCTTATTTTATGGCAGGTGAGTCATTTACTCCATCTCCTGTTACAGCACATATGTAACCTTAAGATTGGCAAGCTTATACTATTTATAGTTTTTGAGCTGGGGTTGTACGCGCGAATACACAATAGGGCTTTTTTATCCATTTTTAAAGGAAATATTCAGAAGGGAAACCTTCGCTTTTTTCCTTTTCAAAGGATTTCTCGATTTCATCACCTCTTATTATTATAGCGTCGTTTTAGTCGATTTTCTAGTAGAAATCACCCTCTTAATCATCATAATTAGTCCTTTTTTTTCGAGGAATTATGTTACATTAACGAGCGATTTCTAAAGCTGTGGAAGGCTAATCTCCAGTGATCATTATTACTTTTATTCCTGCACTTCTACATTATAATATAGCAGAAGGAACTCTTAATTTAGGAGGATCTATAAATGATATTAATCCACAAAATATAAATTGATTTACTTAAAAAGGAAAATTATCTATATTTTATAACTAAAATCTATAATTTATAGGATAATCTTCTTTTTTTAAAAATAATTTTGCAAATGCTAAAACCTTAAAAAAAATATATATTAATAATAAATAAATAGTAAGATTTAAAAAATTATTTTTTATATATTAATATTATTCTATATTATTATATATAGTATCTTAATAAATATATATATATATATAGAATATTAGTAATATTATTGAATATTAATATTCTAATTTTTAATATATATAGTATTTTTATAATTAAATATATAGTGTCATTTTACTTATATTACATTTTTTATATATATACGTATATTTTTATATCTTTATAAAAATTTTAATAAAATAAGATATAAATATATATAATTTTTTACATATATAATTTTTTAATTAAATATAAAAAGTACTTATATTTATAAATTAAATATATTTATTTTAATATATTTATAATATATAAAATATATATATCAATATATTTATATATTTTTTTTTTTACTCTTTATCCTTTTTTTCCAAAAATATTATTCGCATTTTCATAAAGTTTTTATGCTTCTTAGTTTATTTCATCTATTTTTTCATTATTATTTTATATGTGAGAACAAAAATTCCATATTTTTTCAGGAGCCCCTTTTAAGTAAACACAAAAATTATTATTTTCATCTTCTTTTTCAATAATAATTAAAGAAAATTTATCTTTAGAATTAAAAGGATATTTAGCCTCATTTCCTTGAATGTTTTTCGCTATTTTAAACCTCTTTCTAGTCTATTTAACATCTTCAATTTCCTAGAAATATCTCAATAGTCCACATTCAGTCGCACTCCCTTATACTTCCCCGCTTTTTTCATCAAACTACGCCTCATTACATAAAACTGAACATAAATGTAAATCTTAAAAAACCTAATTATTTTCTAAAGCTCCCTCTTAAAAATCCAAGCAAGCCCAAAAAGCACTCACAGTCATTTAATTCTACGTTAAAGTCCCTGTTTTATCTGTGCATATACACGAAGTACTTCCTAAAGCTTCTACAGTCTCCAAATTCTTGACCAAAACGGACTTTTATGCTAGATTTTTAGCAGTAATAGCCAAAGAAATAGTCACACAGCCCAAAAGTCCTTCAGGTACATTTGAAACTAGAATTCCTATACCAAAAAGTACACAAGAAGTAATATCATACTAAATAACGAAAAAACCTAAAAAAAAGAACAAAACCCCTAAAAAAACCGCTATAATAAGTACATAAACTACAAACCTATCTAGCTCTTCCCTCAGCGGGCTTTTTACTTATTTTTCCTACTATGATAAATGCGCTATATTTCCCATAATTGTCCTATCTCCAGTTTTCAATACTATCCCTTTCCCGATTCCTTATTTACATAAAGTCCCTGAAAACACCATATTGGGCGCTTCTAGTGGATTTTAGACATTTAAAGCATCATCTTGCCTTAATAATGGCTCCGATTCTCCTGTTAAAGGTGAATTATCCACTTTCATCTCTATAGATGATATTATTCTGATATCTGCGGGTATTTTTTCACCTGATTTTATAGTCAAAAGATCTCCAGGGACTAGTCTAGATGAGTTTATTTGGTATGTTTTACCTTCTCGGGTTACTAGGGAATTATTCGGCAGTATATTTTTAAAAGACTCGATGATTGCCTCACTTGTCGCATTTTAATGGTAAGTAATTATTCCAGTTAATAAAACAACGAACACTATTATTGAACCTAAATATAAGTTAGATAAGTCTGAGGAGTCTATAAAAAAAGCTAAAAAACATAAAAAAGAACCCGCCCATAATAAAATTGAAAAACCGTTAGTTAGTTCTAATAAAAATATCAAAATTTTAGATTTTTTAGGCTTTTCAGTTAATTTATTGTCCCCATATATTTATATATTAATCTCCGCTTATTGTTCATTTAAGCCAGTTTCTATATGTGTATTATATTTTAAAGAAAGGTCTTTTAAAGGTATTAAATGGTCGTCTTATTATAGTATTTATTAGGCTATTTCTTAACGGAATTAATGACGGGAATTTTATGTAGTGTTATTTAGGTCTGTAATGGTTGTTTATATATAAATTTCTTACTTTATTTCCTCAAATGATGTTTGGAAATGCTTTTATAGAGGATGTATTATTTATTAGGACATTTTATTAACTACTTGTCGTATTTATTTTATAAAATGTATATATAATGTGTTTATTATTTTAAAAATTTAGTTTTTATTAAATATATATATATTAATTTAATAATTTATTTTATGTAAAAATTTAAAATAATTATTATATCTAAGTTTTATATATAAATATTTTTATTTAAAGATTTTTTATTTATCTTTATTTAAATTTAAAGTTAATTAATGTTTAACATTATATAATGTAAGATTATTAAATTTTGTAGCATTTTATAATGGTCTTTTCATTTTAATAATGTTATGTCAATATTATATTATTTAAAAAATATTTAAAGTTTATGAGATGTAGCAAATATTTTAAAGCTTAATGCATTTATTATATTTTCTCTAAAAAAAATATATATTTTATTTATAAAATAAATATAAAAAAAAATTAATAAAATTTTCTTATTATTTTATTTATATGTTATAAAAATTTCATAAATTATTATATAATATTTTTATTATTTTATTTATAAGTTATATTTATTGATTTATCAAAATAAAAAAAAAAAATAATATTAAATAAATGATGGAATATTTATTTAAAATTTAATTTTTAATTAAAATTAAAAAAAATGAAAATAAATAATTAAATAAAAAAAAATGTGAATATAAATAAATTTTTTCAAATTATGTAAAATAATATTAATAATATTTAAATTAAAAAAAAAATATAAATAGAAAAGTTCTTAATTTTAATTATTACTAAATATATATAAATATATATAAATATATTTATATATATATTTATAATTAATTTATTATTAATATTTTTCCTATTAATTAAATTTTGTAAAATAAATAATTATAATTAATATTCTAATTTTATAAAACAGAAAAATAGAAAAAATCTAATTTCCAAGGAAAAAAGAAATTTTCTATAAAATACATATAATAAATAATATATAAAAAAAAAAAAATTAATAAAAAATAACAATAACATATTAAAATTAAAATAAAAAAAAAATACAAAATAACATATTATAAAATATAAAAAAACAATACAATGAAAATAGATCAAGAAGTACTAATAGAAGAAATACCTATAGATTATTAACTTGAAATTTGTTCTTCTAAAGATAAAAATAACTTGGAAGATGAATTAATAATAGAAAATAGTAATAATTTTTAAGAATATAAGAAGATAAAAAAATAAAAAATCTAAAACATATAAAATAATAATATATATATGCATTAAAAATCTTAAGAAAATACTAAATAAAAAGACTTAATAGATAAATCATTAATAGAAAAAGCTTAAAAACTATCATCTTTAGTTAATAAGAATTTCAATAATTGTCTTAAAATTGTTTTAAATAATAAAAATGCTACTATGGGATAATTAATCGATATATCTTTGACATAAAATATTTGAAATATAATATATAAATAAAAATTATAATTAAATTATTAAATTAATTAATAAATATATATATATATATATAATAATTTTATTTATACTTTGTATTTATTAACTAATAATATTTATGTAATTAAAAACATTTTTTTATAATATATATATAAATATTAATTTATTAAAATATTTAAATTATTATAATAACAATAACAATTTTAAAAAAATATTAATAATAACATATTTTTTTATAAAACCTTATATACATATATTTTTATTACTAAAAAAAGAAAAATATAAATAAGAATTTATTAAAAAATAAAAAGAATTATATAAAATATTATATATATTTTCTATAGTATTAATATATTTTTCAATTATTTCTTTTTCAAATTCAACAAATCCCCCATCAATTATACTATTTTTTAATCCCTCTTTCACTCCTGTATTTAACATTCTAGTTAGAATATCTTTTGTATATTTAAGTCTTTTTACCATTTCCCCATTTGAGTTTCTAATGCATTATTTAATGCAAAATTACTTCTCATTCCTTTTTTATCGACATAAGTTACAATTTTTTGGTCACTTTAAATTAAGATTTCAGTTTTATCCGTAAAACACACTTAAACAATTTTATTTGAAAGTCTAAACATGATCGCATGTTTGGTTTTCATCCATTTTTTAACATATATATTATTTTAATTAGCCTATTAATTTTTCTAAGCTTCGATATTTTTTCCATTATTAGTTAGTTGTTCATGTAAATAATTTGAAAAATGATTTAGAAGAGTTACTTTCTTTTTTAAATCAACTGGGTAATCGTTTATATCGTAATGTACACCTTATTCATCCTTTCCATTGGCTTTTTCTATAAATTCGAATACATTTCCTTCTCTTTGCATTAAAATTTTGGTCGAATCGTTAAAAAATACCCCACAATTTCCATTATTAAGGATATAACCAAGTCCATATTTACTAGAATAGTCAATCCATTAGATTACCCAAATATTTTGGTTTTACTAAAGATTATTTTTGTAAAGATTTTGAGATTCAGTTATTATCCTTTTAAAATTAGAATTAGAGTTTTATTATGTTTATTAAAATTATTGTTATTACAAATATTATTATTATTATTATTATTATTATTATTATTATTATTATTATTATTATTACTGATATTATTATTGTTATTATTATTATTGTTATTACATACTATTAAATATTTAATTTTAAGCCAATAAATTACTATTACTTATAGTTTTTAATTATTAACTTTTAGTTTCTGTTTTTTAACTACTTTATGGTCTTTGATTTATTTCATTTTGAAAATTCCAATTTTGGCTTTAACTATTCCAGTTTTTTCCTGTACTATTATAATTTCCTCCTTTCTATATATTTTCTTAAAGCATATTCTTACTTAAATTCTTTATATTTTTCATAGACAATATACTATTAAACCCCTAATTCTATTTATTCATTTATTAAAACTATGATAAATACGCACTTGAAGGTGGACAAGCTAAAGTAGACTATGGAAGACTACGAGGAATAGCATTTCCTCCATTTAAAAAGCTATGTCCTGCTATTTCTTCTAAGCTAGGTCTTTTTAATGGGTCTAAATTAAGTATTTTTGTTATCAATGATTTCGCGGAATCCGAAACAGCAACATTTTCAGGAAAACCATATGAATTATATCTAATTTTCTTATATGTAGTTTTCACATCAGGAGTTTCAAAAGGCGGTTTTCCTATCAATAATGTATATATGATAACTCCTAAAGACCAGATATCAACCTGATAAGAATGACCTTATTTTCCATCGAGAATTTCCGGGGCTATGTAATTTGGAGTGCCACAAATAGTATATTTTTTTTCATTATCGAATTCCAATTTAGCTGCTAAACCAAAATCTCCGACTTTAATATCCATTTTTTCACTCAAAAATAGATTTCCTAGTTTTAGATCTCTATGTATAACTTTATTTTAATGTAAATATCTTAAAGCATGTATTATTTATAATAAATAACACTAAACTTCGATTTCTGTAATTCTTTTTCTTCTTTTAATTAATTCATTTAGTGTGTTATTTGTACATAATTCCAATAATATGTACACGTTTTCATTATCTTCGAATACATGTTCAAATTATACTATATGTGTATTAAATAAAGCTTTATGTATTTTAATTTCAGATAATAATTTCTATCTTGCTCTATTTTTGGTTAATGTTTATTTAGGGATTATTTTAGCGGCTATAGTTCTTTTTGTCTCAGTATTTTTTATTTCATAACATTTAGCAAAACCGCCTTTTCCTAACATTTTTCCACGAAAATATTTTTTGGTAAAACTTTCTCCATTTATTTTTTGAATTTTTTCTTCTATTAATATTTAAAATGAATCTTTTTCATTTTCTTACGGTTTTTCCATTTATTTATTTTTTATTTTTTTTTTAAAAAAAATAAATATAAATAATAATAATAATATAAAATATTATTTTATTATTTGTTTGTTTATTTTGTTTATTTTGTTTATTTTGTTTTTTTTTTTTAAAAAAAAAAATAAATAAATAAAAAAAAATAGTCTTTTATTTTTATTATTATTTTTTTTACTTATTTCACTATATATCTAATAAAAAAATTTGTTTTATTATATATTATAATTAATTATTTATATAAAACAACTATTTTTTTATTATAAATTAATCAAAAATTCTATTTTTATAATTTTAATATATTTATTTTAGTTAGTTATAAAATCAACATTTTTTTTAAGTAATAAAATTATCTAAAAGTTCATCCAAATTTTCAGGTTTAAAATAATTATCTTAATACTATTATTATTATTAAAAGCTTTCTATTCTTTTATTAGATAAGTATTTATTTCTTTATTTTAATAATTCGATTTTTTCTTAATAATTTATATATTCAATATTTCCTTGTTATTATTTAAGAATATATTCAATTTCATTTATAGTTTTTTCGAATTTCTCATCTATTTTTGATATTTTTTCTTCCTTTTTTTTCTCTAAAAATACACTTTAATCATCAATAAAAATTTTACTTTAATTTTTAAAAAAATCATCATTATTTTTTATTTCATTTTAACTTTTTTATTTATTAATTTAAATGTTTTTTTCACTATTTTATTTCATGTTTTCTATTTAAATTTAGCTTTTTTTTTAAATTTATTCATTATTTTCTTAATTTTAATCATTTTAATTAGTTTTTTATAAATTTTAATCATAGTTTTATTAATTTATTTCTAATTTTTAATTTATTTCTTAATTTATATCGATTTGTTCATTTAATTATTCATTTTAATGTATTATAACTTCATTTTCTTATTAATTTTAATTATTATTTTATTAATAGTTATCTTTATTTTGATCTTCATGGTAAGAAGTTGGTTATTCAAGATTTTATTTTTATAATTAATTTTAATCTTTTTTTTCATAAAAAAACTCTTAATTACAATCTATTTTTTCTTCTTTTTTTAAATAATCTTCTTCTTAAAAGTTATTATTATCTTCATCATATTAAAAAAAGGCAGGCTATATTAATTATTATTAATTTTAAAAATGATAAAAGGCTTCTTTTTATGGCCAAAAACTGCTCTAACTAGGCAAAAGAATTTCATTTTTTTAATAAAAACTTTAATTATAAAAAAATTAATCTTCAATTTATTAAGTTTTTTTTCCGAAATCGCTTTTTTCAACTTTATATCTCAAAATTTTCAATTCATTTAATTTTTCGTTTCTTTGTTTTTCACTTTTAATTTATTCGTTTTTTAACTAAATCCTATTTTAAAATATTTTTTCATGCATTTTTTCTTTCTCGAATTTAATTTTTTCAAATTAGAACTTTTCTTTGTCACATATTCTCCATATATAAGGTTTTTCATGATATTAAAGTTCATTATATAAAATATGAGCTAGTAAATTATATTATAATATATATATGTATATATATAAATATTAATATATAAATATATATATATATATATATATTTTATTTTTCCTTTATATATTTTTTACGGAAATCTATATTTTATTATTCGATTTTTTGAATTTGGATTTATTTTTCTTATTTATTTTCTTAATTTTATAAAACCTTTTTTAATTCGATTTATTATCTTAAAATTTCTCCATATTCATGTTTATTTGTAATTATTTTGTTTAAATCTAAAAGTACGTTTTGACCATTTTTTTAAAGTTTATTCATATTATTTTTTTATAAATTTAAAAAAACTGTTGAATATATTATATTTTTTAAACTATTTATTTATATTAAGAAATTATTAATTTATCAATATATATATATAAATATAATACTTTTTTTCATCTTGTATTTTTTATATTTTACAATAAAAAATTTTTAAAATAAAACTCAATAAAGATGTGAATAAAAATTAAAAAAAAAAAAAAATGAAGAAAAATAAATATATATAAATAAAATATAAAAAAATATAAATTAAAAAATCATAAATATATATATGTATATATATATATATATATATATTTATTTTTAAAATATATATTAATAAATCTGTAATACTATACATTTTTATTTATTTTTTAATAATTTATTTTTTGTTATATATTTTTTTAAAATCTATAAAAAGTTATTTAAAATAATTTTTTCATTTATTATTTATTCAAACATAATTTTTATTTTCACAAGTAATAGTTTCTTATATATTTTATTATAAAGTAGTAGATTTATATATATATTATTAATCTTTATCACAAACTTTTTTTTTTTTAATAAAAATATTTTAATATATTTTCATATATATTTATTTATAAATTTTACGAAGTATTTATACATTTTCTATATTATTTTAGTTTAAGTATTATTCTATATTTTCTTTAGAAGTAATAAAGTTCTTTTTTTTATAAATATATATATTAGAAACAATAAAAAAGTATAATTTTTATACTTATTAACCAATAAAATATATAAGTTTTCGACAAACTTATTTATAATTTTCACACATTAAAGGATATTAATTCCTTATTTTTTTTTCTATTAAAACTGACAAATCATTTGCCAATTATTAATCATTTAATGAACTTTTAATAAATTAAATAATTTTCAAGCAAATTTTTCTTCTAATTAACTTTTATTAATCATTTAAATATATATTTTTAAAATTTTCATCTTAATTCTTTTATATTTCTATTTCTTTATTTATTTAAAATTCTTAAGTATTTAATAATTGTATGTTTTTTTATATATCAGTATTTTTTTATAATTCCAAATTCTTTTCTTCATAAATAATAGAGTCATTTAAAATAGCATTGTTTTTTTTTTTTAACTTTTCCTTTATTAAAATTTCATTATATCTTTAATATTATTTAATTTATCATCCGTATTAAAAAACTAATATATATATATAAATAAAATAAAAATATAAATAGAGATTTATATTAATTTAAATATATATATATATATATATATATTTATATATATATATATATATATTTATATATATATATATATATTAATTTACTTTTTTATAAAGTTATTTCTACATTCTTTTTATAATCATTTCTAATTAATATGCCAATTCATTAATTTTTACATTATTAACATTTTAATTTTCTTTTAATAATTATAAAGCACACATTAATAACTTTCCATTATCTTAACTAAGTGCATCGAGAATATTATTTTCATTTATTTAAAATTAATTGATTTTGTTAATAATCTTTTCGATTGCATTAATAGTATTTAAATTACTATTTTAATTAATTAAAGCCGAAAAAAGTAAATTAAAGTCTTATTCTAAATCAATATTAATTGATTATTATTCTAAATTAATTTTTATTTAATCCATTTCAATATTTTATTTTTAATTATATTAAATAAAATTCGAAGGAGGTGACAATATACTGAAATTTTTAGTTTTTTTCTTAATTTGATTTGATTTTTAATTCTAAAAATGAAAAAAATAAAAATAAAGTAAAATAATTTTTTTTATTTAAAACTTTTTTTCTATATAAGTTTTTTCTTTTATAAATTTCCCTTCTTTTCTTCAATTATTTGCTCTTCTAAAATTTCCTCATGGTGTGATAAATGCTCAAAACTGTCCATTATACGCGTAATCATACTAGTAGATGAATTTAAGGTATTTTTTATATTATTAGATTATGTAGTAAAGCTATTATTATGAATATTTTCTTAAATTTCTTAATAATTATCATTATTTAATAAATTAAATTTTTAATCTTATTTTAATTTATTATTTAGTTATTTAATATATATTTAATTATTTTATTTTTACTTTCTTCATATGTATATTTCCCTTCCGAAATTTCATTTGCAATTTGTAAAGATTTTATATATGTTTTATTCTTTTTATATTTCTAGTCTATTGGCTTTTTACTATATATTTATAATTTATCTTCTTTTAAAAATGCACTTTTTTTATATATTTAGTTTTTAATTTAATTAAGAAATTTTAATTGATTTACTAAGAATTATGCCCAATGAAGTTTATCTGATATATATAATTATTCTCGTTATCCAATTATATTTAAGTAACCTTAATTATTTTTTAATATATTTACTTTTTTTATTATTACTATTCCTGGCCACCAAGGATATCCATATATTTTCCCATAAACTAATTCATTTAAATCGTATTTTTTTTAATTCATTTATATTGCCTTTATTTTATTTTTAATGTATATTTATTAATAATTGTTATTTTATTTTTTATTTTATAAATAAAGTATTTTTAATTTTTTTTTTTTCTATTATTATTTAAAAAATATAAAAGAAATTATAATTTTTATTTAATTTTTATTAATTTTTTCTCCTTTTTATTTATTAAATTAATTATATATATATATATTATATATATATATATATATATATATATATATATATATATATATATATATTTATATTATAATATAATATAAAAAATATAATTTAAAAAATTAAATTTTTTATATTATAAAAAGAAAAAAATTATAATTTTTTTTTAAAAAAATTATAATTTTTTTTTTAATAAAAAAAAATTATAAATATTTTATTTTTTAAAAAAAAAATAATTCAAATTAATTTCATATTTTTGAATCAAAGATTGTACTAAATAATAAATTTTCTTAAATCTCAAACATAATTAATTTATAAATATATTTGAAAAATAATAGTTATTATAGGTTATAATATGAATATTTAAAAATAATGTATATATATAAAAATATATAAATATATATATATTATTATTTAAATAAATATTTATTATACATATATTTATATATATATACTTATATATTAATAAAAACTAAATCAATATTTTTAATTTTAAATTACTCTTCTTTTAATAAATAAAAAATACTATATCTTTTTTATTTTCTTGGAAGTTTTTTTTTATATCTTATTTTATTAAATTTATTTAGTTAATTATTAGAAAGAAAAAAAATTAGTATTTTAATTATAAAAATTTGCCAATTTAAAAAGTTCGTATTCTCTATCTATCTTTTAATAAATGTTTTAATATGATAAATATACTTATTAATACAAATGAAATTTTTAATATTTAATATAAAAATCGGATATTGTTAGTATAATTATAATAATTAATATAAGAATATAGAAATTTAATAATAAATTATATAGCAAAAAAACTAATATATATATAAATAATAATATAAATAAAAATATATATATATTTATATATATTTATATATATTTATAATTAATTTTAGTTTATAACAAAAACGAACCTTATATATAATTTAAATATAATAATAATGTTATATTATTAATAAAAATATCGAAATATTATATAAAAAAAATGAATCTAATAATATAATACTAAAATGAATAAAAGAATAAATTTTATAAATATAGAAAATTTTATAAAACAAGAAAAAAAAAAAAAAATATTAAATAAATTATAAAATATATATAAATAAAACAAAAATATCATAAAAAATGTCCTAATGTTGTTCAAATAACCAATCTTAAAATAATTCATAAAAACAACCCGGAAAATTAAATTTAAAAGATAACAAAAAGCAATAATAGCAAGCAAAAATAGTATTATTAGGTAATATAGCTGTTGGTAAATAATAAAACCAGAATAAAACATAAAATAAGGAAACAAAAAAATAAAATAAAAAAAAAGGTAAAACAGCAATAGCATAAAGATTTAAATAAGGAATTTTCGATCCAAGTCATTTCGCAACATTAGGTGCAGCGTATTTTGAAAAAAATATATAATTAAAAGATAATTCTGTACTTTCTTTACATATATGGGATACAGCAGGGGACGAAAGATATAGTATTAAATATATATTATTTTAATATATATAAAAGAATTTTATCTAAAAAATTATAGGATCTATTCTTTCATTGTAAAAATAATGATTTTTTTTTTTTTATAAAAATAAATAAGATATTATAGAGATTCATAAGCCGCAATTTTAGTTTATGATGTAACAGATGCAGAAAGCTTTAATAATTTGTAAGTTTGGATAAACGAATTAGAAGATAAAGCAAAAACAGAAGGAATAATTATATGTTTAGTAGGAAATAAAATAGATTACCCCATCGAATAAATAAAAGTCCCCTCAATAAAAGCAGAGTAATTTGCAAAGGATAAAAACTTCTTATTTTTTGAGTGTTCTGCAAAAACAGGAGAAGGTATTGATAATATATTTAATGATATAGTACAAGAATATATAAAAAGAAAAAAAATTGAATATAATAAATAATAATATAAATATATATATATATATATATTTATATAATATAAATAATATTTATTAAATAAAATTTTCATTAATTAATTTTTCTTTAAAATTTCATATTAATTTATATAATCCTATTAAAAAAAATATTTAAAAAAAATGTATATACTATAATTATATTGTTATTTTTTTTTATATAAATATTTTAAAATTTAAAATTTTTTTTAAATACATCTTTAATAATTTAATAACAAATTTTCTACTTTTCTATTTTTTAATTTTTAAGAATATATATGATTATATATATTTTTTATAATACAATACGTATCATTTTTTTATTTCTATACTATTTATATCTTATTTTAGTATTATTATTCTTGCTTTTTCTTAAATATTAGTATGTAGTCTTTATTTAATTAAGACAAATCGATTTATAAAAGCAATGTTTTTATAAAAATATTAAACATATTTTAAATATTTGTAATTTCTATATATTTTTATGTCAATTATATACTTTATATATAACAAATTTTTTGCAAAAGTACAAAATAGTTAAATGCTAGATAAAATTCGATTATTGTCAAAAATTTATATATAAATATTTCACTTAAAACTTAAATATAAAAAGTTATATTTTTAACTAAATAAAGTTTAATTTTTATTGTTAAAAAAATTTATATATATAAATAAATAAATTAAAAAATATTATTTATTATAATATATATATATATATATATAAATTATATATATATATAAATATATATATTATATTATATTTTTAGTTTTTATTATATTTTTATAAGAAATTTTATATAAATAAATTTATTTTTTTATATATAATTTCATTTTATATTTAAAAAACTATTAATATAAAATTTAATTTTTTTTTTTTATATTATCATATAATATTTTATATATATTTATTTTTTATTTTTTAATTTAATTTTTTAAAAAATCAATTCAATTATAAAAAAATTAATATTTGTATTAAAACTATTGTTTATTAATATAAAATTAATAAATATTATATATTAAATTTTTTAGTTTTTAAATACTTATATGTTATCAATATTTATTTTTTTTAATTACATTCTACATAATGTATTTTATTAAGTTTTATAAAAATAAAAAAAAAATCCAAATTATTTATTTTTTGTATATAATTAAATTCCTTCATTATTATTTAAAAATAATATTTAAAAACATGATAATTAAATTAAAAAAAATTATAAAATTATAATAACATATATATATATAAAAAAAATGTCAAAAAAAGGAGGAAAGAAAAAAGGTTTTTTAATAAAAAATAATTAAAAATTAAACTTATAAATAAAAAAAAAGGAAAAAATGATGATAATGAAGATGAAGCAGTAGAAAAAGAGTCAGTATTAAAAAGTAAAGTAGAGGCTTTAATGTAAAAATTAGGTAATATTAATATAGGACAAAATTAAGAAAAAATATTAATAAAAACAGGTTAAGAATAATAAAGAGCAGATAATGCAAAAGCAGCAGAAAATGAAGTTCGTGCAAGAATATTTTAATTAGAAAAAGATTTAAAAAATAAAAAAAGCGACTTATATTCAATTACGTATAAAATATATATATAAATAAATATACATATATATATAAATATATTAATATATATTTAATATATATATATATATATATATATATACATATTATATATATATATATATAACAAAGTTCTGATATGACTAGATAATATAAATAAATGTAAGATGAATTATTAAATCAAGTTACTCATTTATAAATTTTATAATCCGAAAAAGAAGAAGAAATTAGTTTATTATTTTTTAAAAATATAACTTTTTTTATTTTTTTTTTTTATTTATAGAAAAAAAAGATTAAGAAATAATTGATATTACAAAAAATTATGAGCTTGAATTAATTAATAGATAAAATGCAATTGAAGAATTAAAAAAAAAATAGACGAAATGTCTGCCGAATTCGCGAAAATGTTAAAAGTAAAATAATCTAAAATAATAATTTATTCATTAAATTTTTTATAAATTAGGATACACTTACTAAAATGCAAGAAAGAATAGATCTTGTTTAATGGGATTCAGATTCAGATCCTTAAATGATGAAAAGACTTAAAGATATGACTGGATTATCTAATAATTGAAAATATTCTTTATATAAATATATATAATTTAATATTATCTTTCTATTTTAAATAAAGATTAATTATTTTGTATATATATATATAGTCTTTTTTTTATATAATTTATAAATAAATTATAATAATTAATTTTAATTAAAAAACTAAAAAAAAACTTAAAATATGGATAACTAAATTAAAGTAATGGTTGAATATTGTGGTAGTTGAGGATATAAACCTTCGTTCAATAATTTATCTAATTCTATAAAGAACTCGTTCTCTTAGATAGTTATTGAAGGTAAAGCTATTGCTGGAAATACAGGATGTTTTGAAGTTTATATTACTATGCCTGGAAAAGAAAGGGTATTACTTTGGTCTAAATTAGGAGGATAAGGCCATTGTGATGGATAAGGATGTATAAAAGTAATTGACAAAATAAGAGAAATGATTAACTAATAAAAAACTAATTGATTATATAAATTTTATTTATTTTATATTTCTTTTTTTTTTTTTAATTTTTTTCATTCTTTTTTATATGATAGAAATTCCTTTTAAAAAAATAACAAAAATGAGGAATTTTTAGATAAAAAATAAAAAGAATGAAATTAATAAAAAAAATTGAAAATAAAAAAAAAAAAATTTAATTTTTTTATTTAAAAATAAATATTTTATGTATTTTTTTTATTTTTATGAAGTAAAAATTATATAATTATTAATTAATTAAAAATAAAAGTATATAAAATAATTATAAAGATATATAAATAAATAAAAAATAAAATAA